TTGTCTTTTTTTTCTTTCTGCCTTCCTACCTTTCTTCTTCTTTTCCTTCTTTTTTCGGTTTGTTAAGTTTTAAAAGATAAAAATTTACTAAGGGGAATAGAGCAGTGATCTCTGAAAAGGAGGGATGACAAAGTTAAAAAGATACATTAACAAATTAAAAATAAAATTATTCATAGGGAAATTTCCTAAATATCATATTGTCTATACTACATATATAGACATATGTGTTCTTTTTAAGTTTCAAAATAATTCATGATTATTGGTTATGATATTATAAAGAAGGAATATGTAACAATGAAAGTCTCCCTTAATGTCCATCTCACTCTCTACAAGTGAGTCTTTTTAATATTTCAGTGCATACTTCTAGATATTGTTCTATTTTAATACACATAACATATATATGCATACACATATATATAGCAAGAGTCTGTGACCAAAAAAAGAAAAGAAATTATGTTACATATAATTTCACTGTATAATTTGCTTTCCACTTGTTTGAAATTAATTTTTTTAAATAAAATTCCAGGTGACATCACGTACATATACTTATTTTTTAATTTAGTAATTATTTGTTTTCAGTTCATAATGGTGTCTCAATGAAATCATGCCTATAACTTTAAACATATACATTTTTCTGAGTATTATCTATTTCAACCAATGCTATAATGATGATTCTTGAGGATGTGTATTTACTTATTGATGGTTAAAGGGAGGGCAGATTTCTAGATATGGAATTAATGGGTCAAGAAGATCCCACATGGTTTTAAATGTTATGGAAGACAGATGTTTCTTTTGTTAAAATAATACGTACAATGTCAAGGAATATATGTTTTTTAAATAATGATGTTTGTTTAAGGTCTCTTCAAAGATACTTGTCCAATTTAAACTCCTATCAAGAGTTCATGAGGGGCCGGCCCGGTGGTGCACTGGATAGTGCGCCGCTTGGGAAGCACGGCGGCGCTCCCGCCCGAGGGTACGGACCCCGCATACAATCCGGGTCCCGCTCACTGGCTGAGCAAGGCGCAGGAGCAACACCGAGGGT